GGGAGTAGTGAAAAATTTGACGTAGGTGCAAAACAAAATCCAAAATTCTATTTTGAAAATATAAAATAACAACAAACATATTTCATTCATATACTAAATGCAAACATGCACACTATACACTATTAAGTGCATATATATTCCAATACCTACATAAACTGTATATATTTTTTGTAATTATTGTATAGTATATGGTTAGATTTATGTATGTCTTTATATTCCTTTATTTTATTTACGTGTTAGTATGTAAGTTTATCGTTTGCACCACCTACCATTGTCCAAAGTAATATACTTTTAGAGCCATTTTTAGAGCCGTGATAGCTCAGATTCAGGGAGCTCGCCTTTAATTCAGTATACTCGAGCAACTTGAGTTCGATCCCCGGTGCTGGTATCAAACTTAACAATTTCATTGTTAATAAATGCTGAATTATCACGTGCTCCGCGATGAAGGAAATCATCGTGAGGAAACCTGCATATTTTCGAAAAAATTATAAAAAAAATAGTGTGCGCAGTGGGATCACGTGCTTAACTATGCCCTTTAAATTGAGGAAGCCTTTGCCCAGCAGTGGGACATGGCTGATACTTTTACAAGGTTGTCTGCAAGAGATCGCTCTTTAGCGATAAGAACGCCTTATTGTATCTAACTCATAAGTTTTTGTAACATTTCTTTTTATGTTTTTGTGGTGGTCGATAAAGCATATATACATTAGTGATTGCTACGCGCAATATGAATAGATTGGAAAATTTAACAACATGATGCAAATAGCAATGAATACCTAAATTATGACAATGTTGTTTCGTATTTCCAGTACTTTTACATTCAGTGTACAAAAAATTACAGATCGCTTTGATGAAAGTATTAAAGAACCATTACAAAGGGGCCTTTGAAATATGTCAGCTTTTAATTTTACGCCATCATTAATATTGACGAGTGACTGTCCATACATTGAGTTGCTAATCACCAATACGACACGAGATCTTCATGCGATTACGATACGTACGTTTGGAAGTACGATTCTGAAATTCAATCTTTGCCCGCTCGTTTGAGAGGTCCGTGCGTTCACCTCTTGGCAAGCGCTTGCCGCCTGGTACTTAAGTGGTTGCTAAATCTCCTTTTATTGGTGTCTCGTAAATTACGCTGGCACCCTGGTGGTATTGATTGCGTTTCTAATATTTTATATAACTTTTAAACTTAAAATACTCGCTATATACCCGATATTTTGTAATAAATTATTACGATAAATTATAGGACATTGTTACTTATATCCCTTCGAGAAAAATATGCATAATTTATTAAAAGTTACTCCAAAAACATTTATGTATTTGATGATTTTATAACAACCTACAATGCATTATTGGTTATTTCAAAACTCGTTAAATATATGTCATTTCGCAAGGAATATTGAAAATGCCTCAACGAATAAGTATCTTGCAAACTATAGACCGTTACTACTAAGAAGGTGCTATCACAAGTCTGATAGCAGCCTTAAAATAACTTTCACAACCGCCGACGAAAGGTCAAACGTGTTTGAGTGTGCGCGCGACTATAGGCATGTGTGCGTGAATGGGCACGATGAGCGACCAGTGATCCAATGTTATCGACTTTCTAATTTTTCGGTTTGCTTAGTCCCGTCCGCGGCTGTGTGAGATCTCGTTAGTGCCAGTTTCACTCATTTGGTTGACGCGTTGACATTATCTGCTTTGAAATACAACCCTCTCAATTAACAGTATTCGCTAGCTTTGATATCTACTGTATGACATCCGTGTCTTTCTTTAGCTGTAAGTGTTTGTGATGCTATAGAATCTGACGTATTATTTAAAGTAGCATAAGTGACTCTTAAGTTTTTATAACGTAACGAGATTAACTTTGGTATAATTTAGATGTCTGAAAGTATTAATCAAATCCTAATTTTGCGTATTTGGACGACGATCGGTGTCACAAGATGTTTTACACAAAAACTTACCCCTACCGTGTTTTTTTAGTCTAATACCATCCTGATTGTAAGTCGTGATGCAGTCATAGTAAGATGATTTCAGATGAAAAATAAGATTATCTAATGTTGAAGACATACGCTTATTACATTTATATGCTGTCTTGTTTCTACATGAGAGTCGTTTCTCACACAGAACTTGCGTACAGACGGAGAACCGGATTCGTAGCAATGCTTTTAGGTCAAAAATTCGAACCCACGACCCATACACCAAAACTTGCATACCCAATATTCAGGTCAATGCATATCGCTCAAAAGATAAAAATTCACCTGATGCTGTCTCATAAGTCATACACAGACAATAATTGTTCTCCAAAAAAGGCCGCCTCAAATAGCGTTGACACGTTACGTGTCATGACAGTGTCATTGTGACGCAACGTCCATTACAAGCCGTGACAATCCTACCTAGTTTTTCAGTTATATCATGCCTTTGTAAAGGTTACGACGATAATACATCATGGCTACGATACACGCGAAAATAGTAGGAAACGAAAATCAAGTGTCTACTTCCTTGTTCATATTGTTCTTTGATTTCGTTCGTTTTCGTCATGTGGCCGTATACTGACCGAGTTTCACGCGTTACAGCGCGAAAGCATATTTAGTCTTCTTCTACCTGGCATTAATCCCGGCTATCGCCAGGGTCTGCCAAACACAACTGAGTCATGTTGTAAGCGGTTTTGGCTATGATTTTTACGATCGGCCGCCTGCCTGACGTCAACCCTCCTTGGGAAACAAACACCCAATCCGGTACAATTATTTATGGGTCACACAAACACTTGTCCCGTGTGGGAATCGAACCCACGATCCTCGACGCCGAAGCCCATAGCTTAGCAACGGCGCCATCGAGTCATCGAAAGCATATTTAGTATTGTGGAATAATTACTTTTAAGCGCAAATGTGGTTTTATGGTTTAGGAGTCAGACGTGTGATCTCAGGACGCATGTTCCGATCTCAGTTGTGGAAAATATTGAGTTTTCGAAAAACTTTCCGCCCTGCTACAGGCCTGACTCTAAACTAAACAAATCAATTAAATAAATAGTTATATCATCGGTTCTTATATTTAAATTTTCCCATTGATTTTATTTTATTTAGGTCGGCTGCAATGATGATTATCTCAAATGCAGAGGCAGTTATAAGCAGTTTGGACGTAGTCAAACACGTCCGTCCAATTACCTTGATTTGAATCCAATTTTCTTTCTAGAATGCCGTGGCGTTAATGCCAGCAATGTCAAGTTGTAATTAAAGCTATCGGGAAGTGCATGACCAGAGATAATTTACCGATGGCGGTAACCGAATTATCGACCAAGGTTATTTAAAGGTCGTTACTTTACGTGTCGAGTACCCAAACGGGTTTCCTGCTCGATAGTTTTTATTAAATTGGACGTAAATAACTTATTTGATCAATCGTTGTCAACATCGATTGTAGAATTGATTGTGAAGAGACTTGTTGCCGTTTTAGTTTAGACATGACTCTGCCAATTTGACTCTATCTCCCTCTACATATTGACTCTTTTGATATCTTTAAAGAACTTAGATATCTAATGTTCGTTTGGGGATAAAATAAAAATTAATAAAAGAAATTATTTTTATTTTTTATGTGAGGAGGTGGCAAGCGAGAGTTCGTTTGGGGTTTTGCGAGTGTTGGCAAGGTTTGACGTTAAGTGATAATCGTCTCCCGGATATTTACGTAGCCTCGTAGTTGCGTTGCCACCTTTCAATAAAGGGGCCTCCGGTTATCTAGACGAAACACAGAAACGTAACAAAATATAACAAAACCCTGGTCTTCTATGAGATCTTGCTACTTCCCCGGGCGGCCTAACCCACAGGTAATATTAAAGATAGTAAAAAACAGAGACAGCAGAACGCCTACAGGTGTGTGTAATATAGAAGAGAGAAAAAAATACGAATTGCGCTAATCCCTGTAAGAGTTATTTAACAGATCGTGAAGTGGAAGATGCAATTAAGAGTGATCTTGCGGCACAGCATTCCGTTCGGCTTTGGCGCGGGCGCAGTCGCGCGTGAAACCTAGTCCGCGCTCGTGGGAACGTGCGGCGGCTGTCGCAACGGCCTGCTCGATTTGATAGGATCGATTACGCTAGGACTTTCGCTAATACGTGCACTGTACAGACGAATTTAAGACGAAGTAAGATTTTGATGTTACGCGCCTATATAGACCTTGACTCTCAGAGAATCAATTCAGCAAACTATTCGGACATATGTTGATATGAAAAAAAAAATTAGATAGATTTAATGTTGTAAATGTTGGATAAATGAATTCTTTAATATGAATTAAATACGGTTATTATTTAGTTAACGTATTGTTATTGTGGGTTAGATCAACACTACTGGATAGATCTTCACTAATGATTAAATGTTGTGTGACGACCATAGTGCTTCATTATATGTTTATATCCTCACGCGGAACTATGATGAATAAGAGCGACGCGATATTATTAAAAATAATAATACAAACACGTGAAAGAGGCTTCATATCTGTACTTGTATCTTTATATATATAATTCTTCTGTACGTTTGTATGTCACTGAACTCCTGAACGGCTGGACCGATTTAAATGAAATTTTTTGTGTGTCTTCAGGTCGATTCGGGAATGCTTTAGATTCAAAATTCGGTCTATTACATTTTTTTTTGTTTCTGACTTGTTGAATTTAAGCCGCGTGTTAACATAATAAAGCCCAAGAGTTTGTTTGTTTGAACACGCTAATCTCCGCAACTAGTCGGATTAGAATTTTTTTTTTTTGCATTTTATGGCTCTTTTCATAACGAAGGTTATATTGTGACTAACATCACGCTACGACCTGCGGGGGCGAAGCAGACGTTTCTAACGGACAAAATGGCACGGAATAGCTAGTGCACAATATTAGTGCGAAAGCTACATTGTCGGCATTCAATGAGCCATTAACGCGGCCTCGAACCCGTAAACTTCACTCGTTTTTTTGAACACAATTTGAACCGCGGACCGGCGCGATTTCGCACGTACGGACGAGACAAACGATGCGCTCGACAGGAGTGGCGGTGAAAGTGAATTCCACCTGCGGACGTGGGCAGAGAGGCCGTAAGTAGGCCCTTGCGAGTTTAACTGAGATCATAGCCGACATGACTGCATGCTGGATCACGTGAGAATCACGAAACGAAACCACTGATAGTATATGGGGAGTATTTAAACAAGCGCAAATTATGAAATGAGAAAAAATCCGGGTGCATCAATATATTAAATATTCCTCTCATTGCCGCGAGTACCATATTTATAGTCTTGATAGCTCAGTTTCCACCGCTGGCTTTTAATTCAATATACTCAAGAAACCTGAGTTCAATCCCGGTGCCAGCACTGATGAAATAGTCTGATGAATTGTAAGTTCTTAATTATCATGTGCTCAGCGGTGAAGCAAAACACCTTGACGAAATCTGCATATTGTAAAAGTAATAATAAAAAAAAAATATTTTGGAAGTGAAGTCTGCCAAATCGCAGGGGGCCGTCGTGAACCATACCGTCTGAACTTGAGCATTGAGACGACCTAGACAACCAGCATTGAGACGTTGAAACGAAGTGAAAATCCTTCAAAAGGTTAAGGCTGTAGAGCGTGCCAAATAATTAGTGTTTAATTCTAAAAAAAAAAATGTAATTAAATAATATCTATAATTAATACCTAACCTAAAAATCTGTAAACTGATGACAGCGATTTCATAATAGAAGTTGTTTTGTTTTCTGACCAATAGATGGCGCTGTCTCGTTCGTAAATCGCGATGTTGGGATTTTTTGTAATTAGCATAAGTCATCAGCATTTTTATGATTATACACTTCTACCAAGCGAGTACGGTTGTTTTATTCTCACGTCCGTAGTGGCTTCCGATAACTGGCTTGGACATTATACATGGTCCTAATCGAGTCGGAAGTATTTTTAAAATCGCACTAGAAACCAATGACGGATTGTCATTGAAGGTGCGCACCGTCGATTCTTGTGAATCGATTGGGTGATTGAGTGCAGTGCTCTACACATGTGCAAAAGTGTGTGTGTATCAGCTGCAATCAATCGAGGAGTCTGAAGCTAGAAGTGGAAGGCAGGTGGGCATCAGTGACGTCATAGCAGTACGTCACAACCTCTTCGCGTGGAGTACGAGGAAGAGGAAGGAGAACCTGCAGCAACGGAGACATCATACGAGCTTGACGTGTGACGTCATTCTTCGGAGTAGTGTGGTTTGCAAGCAAAAACTGTGAGTACATTTTGGTGTTTAATCAGTGCAGTTTCAAGAATTAATGATTTGAATTGACAAAGGACTTAGATAAAATTTCAATAATTTTATACGGACTTAGAAAAATTAAGATAATTCGAAGTTTAAAAGAAACTTATGTATACGAGTGTTTAGTTAGTTATTAGATATTAACTTAGAATAATTTGCATAAACGTGATCCAACGGGGAACCTATGCCCAATTTTGGTTAGAATAATTAATTTTCCAAACACTTGTAAAATTTTAAGAATTTTATTAGGACTTAGAATAGTTTTCATAAAAGAGATCCAACGGGGAACCTATGCCCAATTTTGGTTTGATTAATTCTAAAACACTTGTAAAATTTTGAAAATTGTTTAAGCACTTAGAATATTTATCATATTTTGTTTTATAAAATTTCAAAATGTCGTTGTCTGCTCTAATAAAGAGTCAATTGAACTATAAGTCTATGATAGACAAGGCTTATGATAATTTTAAAAAATCGCCAAAGGATCGTTTGTGTAAAGAGTCTTATTTGCTGACGAGGTTAGATTCATTAAATGAAAAATGGCAGGTATTTGTTGAGACACATAAAAGAATTGCAGTAGAGTTTTCTGATCAATTGTTTGAAACAAGTTACTATAAGCAAAATGTTTATGAGAGTGTTGAGGAAACGCATATTGATTATAAGTCCGATATCAGAGAAGCCTTGTCATTGTTAAAGTCTCAATCAAATATTCAAGTATACAGTCACATACAATTTCAAAGGCAGAGAATAATGTCAAACTGCCTAAGATTAGCATACCCATGTTTTCAGGATCATATACAGAATGGCCCACGTTTAGAGATTTATATGTTTCATTGATCCATAATAATTCTTCAATAGACGATGTGCAAAGGATGCATTATTTAAAAGGGCATCTTTACGGTGAAGCCGAACAGCTTTTAAGACATATACCTATTACAGCGGCTAATTATCTAGAATCTTGGTCTTTACTCAACAGTCGCTTTAATAATAAGAAATATTTAACAAATTGTCTATTGAAACGTTTTATGAATCAACCCAGCTTAAGTAACGAATCATGCAGTGCTATCAAAAATATGCTAGATGTTACCAATGACACTCTACATGGTTTAAAAAATTTGGGCATAAATGTGGACTCATGGGATGCAATGGTTATTTACGTAATTGGCACAAAATTGGATTCCGATTCGCGAAAATGTTGGGAAAATAAGTAACTCTGAGGAATTGCCAACGTTGAACCAATTACGAGAATTTTTAGAAACACGATTTCGGTCACTTGAATTTATGGACTCTAAATTAAAAGGTAAACAGAATATAACAACAAATCATAAACCGAAAGTGTTGCTCGCTATGAATTCCGGGTCTAATGCTGTAACTAAGCTTAGTTGTATATATTGCAAAAACGAGCATAAAATATCAAACTGCAAGGGATTTTCTGCAATCGATTACGATAATCGACATAACTTTGTACAAAGGAACGGTCTATGCTTTAACTGTTTGGGTCGTAATCATTCTGCCAATTCATGTCGTTCATTTATTAGATGTCGCATTTGCAAACATAAGCACCACTCATTGCTTCACCCAAAACCAACATCAGAAGTACAAAATATTGTATCACCCAAGCCAGATTTAGCGGTGGAAGTCAAATCAACGATGTCAAACGTAAAAGCATCGTTAGAGGAGCCTAAAAGGGTGTCAAATATAGTAGCAAGTTTCTCGCAACAAACAGTACCTAACCAGATCCTGTTAGCTACCGCAATTGTTAAAGCTGAAGCGAGAAATGGTGAAGCTCACTTGCTCAGAGCCCTGCTAGATCAGGGTTCTCAAGCGTCGTTTGTCACCGAGTCCACAGCACAGTCACTTGGTCTAAGGAAGATAGCTAGAAGGAGTCACATATCGGGAGTGGGCGGCGATAAGAGGTCATTGACTTCTAGGCACATCGTTATGATGAAAATTCAATCGCGCTGTGATCCAAGCTTCCAAATCCAAGTGCGTGCGCATGTCTTAGGATCTATAACTAGCCTTCTTCCATCTGCGAAGATAGCCAGCGTGGACTGGCCAGAGCTAGCTAATATAACTCTAGCAGATCCTCAATTTCACACACCAAACAAAATAGATATTTTATTTGGTGCAGACGTATACGGTCAAATTATAAAGGAAGGGTTGATCAAGGGTCCTAATGGCACTCCAACAGTTCAGTGCACGGCTTTAGGATGGATCATATCTGTCCCACACATAGAGTTGATAATGATCAATCTCTTTCGCCACATTGTCATCACAATGTTATCATAAGCATGCATTCTCAAGACAATGAAAATGAATTGCTGAAGAGATTTTGGCAAATCGAGTCCGATATATTCGAAGAAAATATACTAAATGAAGAAGAGAAACATTGTGAGGAGTTTTACAGCAAAACTACTCAGCGAGACTCAACAGGTCGGTACATAGTTAGACTTCCTTTCCGCGAGATCGATCCGCAATGTAAATATGGGAATTCGAGAGATATTGCACTCAAGCGATTTCATCTTCTTGAAAGGCGGTTCGAGAAGAACCCAGAAATGAAGGCAAGGTATTCCGAAGTAATTCATGAATACATGAAGCTTGGGCACATGGAACGCATAACAGGCAGTGATCTGAACAGAGCGGAGTCTGTTTATTTACCTCATCATGCCGTGGTCAAGGAAGACAAGACCACGACCAAGGTTAGGGTAGTATTTGACGCTTCATGTAAGGGAACAAATGGTGTGTCTCTTAACGATACATTGATGATCGGCCCCACGCTTCAACAAGACTTGCGCCATATCATTATACGGTGGCGTATGCATCCAATATGTCTCAGCGCAGACATTATCAAAATGTACCGTCAAGTTTTAGTCGCAAATCAGGATGCAGACTTCCAAAGATTAGTGTGGAGAGATGATACGTTCTCTGAAATAGAAGAATATAGGTTGTTGAGAGTTACATTTGGTACAGCAGCAGCACCCTATCTGGCAATAAAAACTTTACAGCAACTTGCAATTGATGAAGGAGCAGAATATCCAGATGTAGCTGATAAGGTCAAAACAGATTTTTATGTAGATGATCTGTTGACAGGTTGTCAAACAGTAGAAGAAGGAGAAAGAATTTATAGAGATATGAAGGAGTTATTGAAAAAAGGAGGATTTGAATTGCAGAAATGGGTTACAAATAACAAGCATTTAGCGCAGTTAGTGATAAATGGACAAGAAAATCAGGAAGAGGAAGTTAATATAAGAATGAATGAGGCGGTTAAAGTACTGGGGCTTTCTTGGAGCAAGGAATCTGATAATTTTAATTACACAGTGCAAATTCCTGTTCTGCAATATCCGATCACCAAGAGGAAGGTAGTATCAAGCATCTCACGTCTATTTGACCCTCTGGGATGGGTGACACCTTGTATCATCGTAGCCAAAGTGATGATTCAAAAGTTGTGGTTGGCCGGAATAGACTGGGACGATGAACTGCCAAATGATTTACTCAAAGAATGGCTGTCCTTTCAATCAGAGCTGTCTAATATTTGTGAAATCAGAATTCCAAGGTGGCTCAAAGCAAAGGCTGATGATTGTAGCATGGAACTTCAAGGTTTTTGCGATGCTTCTAATACTGCATACGCTGCGATAGTTTACCTGAGAACCATTGATGCTGTCGGTGGAGTACATGTCAACCTAGTTACAGCAAAAACTAAAGTTGCTCCAACTATGCAAGTATCCATTCCTCGCCTTGAACTAATGGGAGCAGTTTTATTAGCCAAGTTGATAACAGAGGTAGCCAATTTATTGGGCATTAATCGTAAAAATATACACTGCTGGACAGACTCTACTGTAGTGCTGGCGTGGCTCAGCAGTCACCCTAGTCGCTGGACAACATTTATCGGTAATAGAACGTCAGATATTCTTTCAAGATTGGATAATACTCAGTGGGCACACGTTCAATCAGCCGAAAATCCTGCAGATATTGCTTCCAGAGGCTGTACACCTTTGGAACTAGCCGAAAATGGTTTGTGGCTGCAGGGTCCATCATGGTTGAAAAATACATATATTGCCTACCAAAGACCGAAGTCAATTTCCACCGACATGGAACAAAGAAAAATAAAGGTCCATATATCGATAAATAGAGCATCGGTGAATGATATTGCTCTGTGGACGCGATTTTCCTCATTGACAAGGCTCATACGAGTCATTGCATTTTGTCGCAGATTCTTAAGATACAAACGAAAACATAAGTTTGAACCTTATCTTACAAACAGTGAACTAAATGAATCATTACACGTTTGCATAAGACAATGTCAAGTGACGCACCTGGAAGAAGCCAAGGAAAAATTGAAGCCGCTGAGTCCTTTCCTTGACGAAAAAGGGATACTGAGAGTGGGAGGTAGAATTCAGAACTCAAATCTTCCCATGTATACTAAGCATCCCATCATACTTCCTCATAAGAGCCATTTCACTGATTTGGTTATTGATGCGGCTCACCGAAAAACATTACATGGGGGTCCAACTCTCATGCTGAACCATTTGCGTACACATTATTGGATCATAGCAGCTAAAAGTCTAGTTAAGTCGCATGTGCAAAAATGTGTGGTTTGCGTTCGCCAGGCTGCATCGTCAAAAAATCAATTTATGGGTCAGCTACCATCGAGCAGAGTCACACCAGCCAGGCCATTTCTTCGAAGCGGTGTAGATTTCGCGGGTCCCATAAATGTTCGAGTAGCTAAAGGAAGAGGCAATAAATCATACAAAGGTTATATTAGTCTTTTTGTGTGTATGGCAACTAAAGCCATACACTTAGAATTAGTAAGTGATCTCACTGCTGATAGTTTCATTTCAGCGTTCAAGCGATTTGTAGCCCGTAGAGGTCACGTAAGCGAGTTATGGAGCGACAATGGTACGAACTTTGTCGGAGCGTCTAAGGAACTCGGCAAGCTCGTTACCGCGGAGCATTCCTCTGTTGCTGTTGAAATTCGTGATTGGTTAAGCAATAATAGCGTTTCATGGCATTTTATTCCTGCCCGTGCACCAAACTTTGGTGGTCTGTGGGAGGCGGGCATTAAATCCGTGAAGTTTCACTTGAAACGGGTCATAGGTGACACCACATTAACTTACGAAGAGCTGGCTACTATTTTGACACAAGTCGAGGCATGTCTTAACTCAAGACCTCTGTCGATGTTGCCAAATGATCACAGGGACCCCGCACCTTTAACTCCGGGACATTTTCTCGTCGGTGAACCTTTATTGATTGTTCCTGAGCGTACATATGAGCATAGTAACATTAGTACTCTTCGACGATGGCAAATGACTCAGAAGATGGTACAGAATTTTTGGAGAAGGTGGTCCAATGAGTATTTGGTGAATTGTTTGCAAAGGTACAAATGGTCTAAGATCACTCCAGAACCTAAAGTCGGGGATGTAGTTTTAGTTAAGGAGGAAAACCTTCCCCCAGCTCGTTGGTTATTAGGTAGAGTAGTTGCTAAGCATCCAGGACCTGATCATATTACTCGTGTAGTAACTTTGAAGTGTGGTCAATCTTTGTTAAAGAGACCAACGTCTAAATTATGCCTTTTGCCGGTCACTAAATAAATGTAAGTGTTTATAGGTTTGATATTTTTGATCCAATAAAAGTTTTCTATGTTAGGTTGTAATTGATGTAAGTTTTAATTAAGATCGTAAGCTAAGATAAGTGTTCAATTGTATAAAATGGTGTATTGTCAAATTTTAATTCCCACGCAAAATTGTCTTTATGGTGGGCGGTAAAGTGAAGAACGTTTGATAACGTTCTTGGTGGGCGGAATGTTTAATTCTAAAAAAAAAAAAAAAAAAAAAAAAAAATGTAATTAAATAACATCTATAATTAATACCTAACCTAAAAATTTGTAAACTGATGACAGCGATTTCATAATAGAAGTTGTTTTGTTTTCTGACCAATAGATGGCGCTGTCTCGTTCGTAAATCGCGATGTTGGGATTTTTTGTAATTAGCATAAGTCATCAGCATTTTTATGATTATACACTTCTACCAAGCGAGTACGGTTGTTTTATTCTCACGTCCGTATTGGCTTCCGATAACTGGCTTGGACATATACAATTAGTTTTACCTGAATCCGATATCGATTTCAAATATCAGATTTCGAAACTATGTATTTTAATATCTAGATATTTTACGGTTCCCTATCCACGTTGATTAATTGAATTCTAAAAAAAAAAAAAATATACTTAAAATGTATATTTCATACTTATTATAAATATAAAATTGTGCAGGCGTATTTAAAAGTTGATTCATTCTATGTACATAATTTTCCTTATATTTTAAACTTAACATTATATATTTACAATTATGTCAGGGTTAATAATTATTTATATCCCTCCGGGTTCAAATTCACGTTTAGGAACGTAAGCTCTCTGACTTTATTCGTCGAAAGTCTTGTTCGACGATCATTAATAATTAACCCTGTCTTACTAAAAATGCGTTTTTTTTAAATTATTAAATTAAAAATATAAATTGAAGTAATATAAAAATGATTTATTGTAACATCTTATATACCGCTTAATAATTGATTTTAACATATTTTTAGAACACGCAATCGAGTGGCAATATTTTTATTATTTGTGTAAGAAATAATACATTCAGTATTATAGCTTAGGGCGGAAGAATTTAAAATATACACACAAGGCACATAAGCCTTGGTCTGATTTCCACCAAAGCAGCACAGCACTATTAAATTATATTTTTCTTTTTGTGTACTTTTTTTTTTTTTCCAAAAATATGAATAAAATTTAGCTAATAAAAATATTCACAAAAAATTTACCTCCTAAAAAATTTCCATTGTATATTTTTCTTCCTTAATTTAGGCAGAAAATTCTTAAGTAGTAAGTTGGCATCCCTTACTATTACGTGTTAAGTACCAATGCAATCCAGCTCAAGGCTGAACAAAATTTCAAAGACATCGTTAATACCGTAATTCGTATTTAAATGCAACAGAGTTTTTTTTTTCCATGCTGTTAAGATTCAAAATTACTTAACTGCGCGCTTTGTCGCCCGTTACGGCTCAAGGCTAAACAAAACAATAAAAATATAATAATATCGTTGTAGTAATCGCTGATACCAAGATTAGTATTTAAATGAAACGGATCTTATTTGCATGATGTTAAGATTCAAAATTACTTAACTTATTCATAATATCTGTTTAAAAATCTGATATCGTGCATTGCTTGCCGTCCCACTCTAACTAGTAAGTATTTATATCTCACGCGCTTTGTCGCTCGATATCTGATATCGTGC